AATAAAAAATAACGTAATATAAGAAATATAAAAAATAAATTATGTTTAAAAATATTAATTAAACTATAAAATAATAATTTTATAAAAAAAGGGGCGCTATGGCCCATAACTGCACTGAGGCGCTATGGCCCATAGCACCGATTTAAAAATTATATGTTTTATTTTATAAATATAACATTTGATAAATAATATAATAAAATTTCAGATAAAATATAAATTTATATTAAATATATAATATAAATTAAGAAGTGAAAAAAAAAATTAAGTATATAATTTAAAGTAAAAATATTTTAAAAAGAAAAAAAAAATGGGGCGCTATGGTCCATAGCGGCACTAAGGCGCTATGGCCCATAGCGCCGGTTTTAGAATTAAATGAAGCACGGTTGCATCTTCAACAAAATGCTGCAAGACATTTCTCTTAATTCGTCACTCATTTAGCTGCTCCCAATTATTTCGCTATATGTTTCTTTTACCTTTCGTATAAAAGCTTCCCTGTAATATTATAAGCAAATTATGGAAATTAATCATGAAGTTGATTCATTGAACCAAATTATTATAAAAGCTTCCCTGTAATATTCTACCAGTTTTTTTAAAAAATTTATTTTGTAATTCATTTTTTTTATGTTTTTCTTTATTTTTTCCCTTCACTTATTTTTTGCCTAGTTTTTTTTTTAAATTTACATATAAAAATATTATTAATACACTTAAAAAACATAATGTAAAAAATAATTTAAAAATGAAAAAAAAAAATAAAAATTGGGGCACTATGGGCCATAGCTCCACTTAGGCGCTATGGCCCATAGCATCAGTTTAAAAAATATATCTAACAGTTTTTTAAATATAATATTTTTTTAGAAATTTATAAAAAAAATAATGGATAAAAGGGTAAAAAAGGATTGAAATAAGAAAAAATTGTAAATTTTAAAAAATAAGTAATATAATGTAAAAGATAATTTAAAAATGAAAAAAAATAATAATAAAAATTGGGGCGCTATGGCCCATAGCTCCACTCCGGCGCTATGGCCCATAGCACTAGTTTTAAAAAGATACATATTATTTATTTTAAAATTACATTTTTATAAAACTTAATTTTTTTTATAATTATATAATAAATAGTTCAGTTTATTATGTTTATTTTACATTACTATTATTTTCGTTTTTTTTTGTTTTTTTCTTTACTTAGTGTCGCTATGGGCTACATAATTTTTTTAAGCCCATCAGCTGTGGTGGGTCAGCCTATAGCGACACTAATCCAGCCCAACCAAGCCAAAAAAAAAAAAAAAAAACCACGTGTCATGAGTGTCGCTATAGCCCATAGCGACACCCAATAAAACAGCCCCAAAAGTGTAAAATGCTTCAAAACAGTCCCATTTTGCTATATTGTTTCTAAAAGTGCACCACAATGGTCGTTTAGCCCAATTTTCCATGCACCCAGTGCAATAAAATTCTCAACTCTCTTACGCTACAAAAAATTGTGTTTGTAACCAAAAGTCGTTATCTAATTTGGCACTTTTTCTTTAACTAAGAAATGATATTAAATTTCCTCAAAAAAAATGATATTAAATCTCCATTTTAAATATGGAGTACTCATCGGAGGTACATCTCATATTTATAGAAATTGATTTGATAATAAAAGGCTATATATTTTTATCAAATAAAAAAATTGTGTTCCTTTATTGGCATTGTTATTTGATCTACTAGGTCTAACTCAATTTCAAAGCTTAAAAAAATGAAGTCTTTGTGTTATTTTGAAATTTTGATGTGAAGAAGTGTTATTAAAAGCACATTTTCTTTTATGTAGACTTTTTTTTATCAACATAATTAACACAATATCTTAAAGTTAGCAATTAAATATTATATATTTTATATTTATAAGATATAATTTTTATTGATTAAATATTATTTTAACATTATAATAATTGATCATAAAAACATTGAATCAATTCTCATGTTTCAAAATAAACTTTATAACTACTAAAAAATATTTTTTATTCTCAGTAGAAAAATCTATAAAAATCTTTATAATTTATATTTAAAGAGACTTAAAATATGTTTAAAATGTCATTTTAGGAGTTTATAAGTTAGTTTAATCAAAACAAGTTTATTTGAAATATAGACTTATTTTAGTAACTTCTAGTTTTTTTATATATAAATTACTAAAAAAAATTCAAATGATTTATGAAAATAAACTAACTTATAAACTATTAACTCTTTTTTTTTATTTTTATCATCATTATTTTATAATATGTCATTTTGTATTTATTAGCTATCTTATCAATTATCAGTTTCTATTAAATCAATTAGTTTATAAATTTTCTAATATTCAGCAGCTCTTGACTTGTAATTTATTCGGTTAATTTATATATTTTCAATTAGTTTTATCAAATTACACTTGTAATAATCGGTAGAAGTTCAAAATAATTTCCTTTGATGATTTTAGTCACCATAAATATGTTTTATCTTACAAATTACATGATTATTTTCGATCATTACAATCCGGTTACCAAATTAATAATCAAGTAATTTAAATTTCAAACAAGCAACTAAGTTTAAGGGAAGATTTAAAAAATATACAGGCTTAATTTTACTTTTCATATTCTTAAATTATTATAATTATATAAGTTTGTTCTCCTATTTTTAGAGTTTAACGGCGATGCATTATTAATGTAAAAAAATAGTTCTACATTGTCATTAAATTATAATTAAAAAAAAATTGTAAAATTATTATTTTTTTATAATAAATATTTTAAAAATCATATCAATAATATTTTGTAATTGATTGATAATTTAAAACTTTTTAGATTAATATTGGACCTTTAATTTCTAATTACCCTAAACGAATCTCATTTACTTCTTATATGATAATTGGGTTCATTTATGTGAAACCCTTTCCCCTCTCTTTTCTCACTCCCCGAAGACTTTTCCTCTCATTCTCTACTTTCTTTCACTCACACTCACTTTCTTCTTCTTCTTCATTCTTGCTGTCCCAAAGGTGGTAGTACTGAGTAGGTGATTCGAAGCTTTTCTTTCCTCCGCAGCTGCTAAAGATTGTTCCTTGCCGTCCGTTCAAGCCTTCTTCAATCTCCTTCTTCGTCTTCTTTGTCCCGAAGCTCGGAATTTTTGCCCGAGGTAAGGGAAGTTAGTCTTCTTGTTGTGGATTTGGTTGAAATGAGTCTAAGAACTCATGTGGTTGCTTGTGATTGCAGATTCTTGGCTGTTTGGGTGATACATTGAGTTTTTGGGGACCTTGGAGTTTTGAGAAAATTCTTGGTTTTTATTTGATTGTAGATGCATGTGTAAAAAGAGGTTGTTTTTGAACTCTTGGATGAAAATGTGGTACTTTGGTTGGATTGCATGTGCTGGAAAGTGGGTTTTTGCAGGTTTGGGCAATTTTTTGAACTTGGTAAGGTTGCTGCTGAGCTTCGCGCTGAGCACTGTTCATCGCGCTGGGCGCGTGGCCACCAGGGGACCCCATTTGACTAAGCTCGCCGGGCGCAATGATGAGTGCGCTGGGCGTGCTTGAGAATGTGGGTCTCTGGCTGGCCTGTGCTGGGCGTGACTTGGACCGCGCTGGGCGCGATACCAACTGTAGCATGATTTTGGGTTCCTGACTCTGCGCTAAGCGCGGCCCTTGTCGCGCTGGGCGTGATACTCCTTGGGAGTCTCTGCCTTGTGGGTGTTGGGCGCAATTTGAATTACGCTGGGCGCGAGACCAAGGGAGGTCTCTGCCTTCCCCGCGCTGGGCGCGGGTTTGGGCACGCTAGGCGCGTGAGGCTCCATGGAGTCTCTGCCTGGCATGCGCTAGGCGCAATGGGTATTGCGCCAGGTGCGAGTGAGCCTTGAGCTCTCTGGCTGGGTCCCGCCGGGCGCGGGCATGCTTGCGCTGGGCGTGCTGGCCCCCTGGTGCTCTCTGGTTGCACTGCGCTGGGCGCAACCACGAGTGCGCCGAGTGCGGAGATGAGATTTGACTATATGTTGGTTAATGTTGTTTTTATGCTGAGTTGAGTTGAAATGGATGAATATAATGTGATGACTAGTAGATAATGTTGGTTGATTGATGTTGAGTTGTAAAGTTGTGTTGTGTTGTAAGTTGATATGTTGAGTTGTAAAGTTGAGTTGTGTTGTAAGTTGATATGTTGAGTTGTAAAGTTGTGTTGTGTTGTAAGTTGATATGTTGAGTTGTGTTGTAAGTTGATATGTTGAGTTGTAAAAGTTGTGTTGTGTTGTATGTTGATATGAGTTGTTGTAGGCCATAAGGGCTGAGTTGTTGTAGGCCATAAGGGCTGAGTTGTTGTAGGCCATAAGGGCTGAGTTGTTGTAGGCCATAAGGGCTGAGTTGTTGCAGGCCATAACGGCTAAGTTGTTGTAGGAGATCTCCGAGATGATATGCGTGACGACGCATTTTTTTGCTAATTGCTGGTTTGTTATGTAACGATGAGATGTAGACTAACAATGTGTTGATAATCGGCTCGACAGGTTAGAGAAATATCCACTTTAATTTCGACCTTTTTCATTATTTTGATAAATAAAAAATCAGAATTAATTTTTAATCCTTAACTAAAAATATAAATAACGAATCAGTTGGATTAATTTTTGGTATATGAGTTTTTTTTTTCTAACTAGTACTTTGTTTTTACAATACTACTCTTTTTAAATTTATATATGAGAAAAAAATACTTAAAATTTTAAAATTAAAATATAAATAAATTTTATTTAATATTTTTAATAAAAAAATAATTTTATAATAATAAATGAGAATACTATCTATCATAAATGTGGTTAAATATATTTTAAATAATATAATATATATTTTATGTAAAATTATAAAAATGAAATGTATTTATTAAATTTTTTAATGTATGTAAAATTAGTTAAGAATGATTAATTTTTTTCCTCTTATAAACATGGTTGATTTCATTATACATCTTTCACAGTAGAAATGTCATTCTACTATCTAGTTTCCTTGGGCTGTGTTGACTTTTGTCTTTGTGATCTTGTGCTCACGAATCCACTTCCCAATAAGAGGTCAGTGATGAATACAAAATTATACTGCTCTTTATCTTTTTATTTTATTTAGCATTTAAGGTTTTCATGGGAGAATATACTCCCTCTGTTAAATAATTAGTGTTTGGTTAATAAAATAAAAAATAACTTACTTTTTGTTTTTACGAGAACACAACAATAATTTAAAAATAATAATATTAGGAGTACATATAAAAAAGTAATTAATGTTATGTTAAAAATGAAATTTCAGGACAAAAAAGAAAAAAAAATGTAGCAGTATCAGTACTGACAAACCTTGTATGGGAATGTAACCTTTTAGTCTGAGAAAGGGAAACGCGGCGAAAGCAACGAAGGAAGAAACTCCACCCGTTCTCAGCACAATCCTGGGGAGGCGAAGCTTGTCGGCGACGCCTTGTGTGAAGTAACACAAAGCATCGGAGATCAAGCAGGCCACAGGTTGAGGTTCCTCCGACAGTAACTTTGTGACGCACTCCTGGAATGGCGTGACGCATTGAGCGTTGAGAGCGAGGAGGAAATTCAAGAGATGGGAAGCAGAGGATTGGGAGAGGCAGAGGGAGGAAGGTTCTTGGATGCAAGAGAAGTTGAAGTGAGGGTAGTTAGAAGGGTCTGGGGAGTTGAAGGTTGTGTGAAGGATGGTGATGGAGAAAGCGTTGGAGTAGAGGATCTGAGCGAGGTGGAGCATGGGGTTTATGTGACCTTGGAGTGGCAAAGGGATAAGCAACAACCTCCGCCCCTTTCTTTCCACTCCCTCCATTTCCTCTCTCCTTCTGTCACTTCTCTGCTTTTTCTCTTTTCACCGGGAAATATAAATATACTATTTATTTATAAATAATTCATTTTAAAATACATTTCTCATAAAAAAATAATTTTAACATGTTTTTTTAATAAAAAATAGTTAGATTAAATTAACTTTTTAAATCAATTTTAAAAGTAAAAGTTGATCATACTAGAATGAAAACAAATTTGTTAAACATCAATTATTATTATTATTTATTTATATTCTTAAAAATATTTTTAAAATGAGCTGATCTTAGTTGCTGTTGTATTGTTTCAGCTACTTGGTGTAGCGATTGATGATGTATTTTGTTTTATTTGGTTGTTTTGGCACACTCTAACTCCGGTCGGATTGAGACTTTGTATATATTTATATTCTAGATCCTATATTTATATACTCGTTCTTTCTGTCTGATGTTTCCGGTGTACAAAGGCGTGTGTAGTAATTAATCGGGTCGTTACAATTTATTAGTTTTTCATTAATTGTTTTAGTGAATTTTATTGATGAAGTGTGGTAGGAACGATGATCTATTGGTCAAACAATTAAAACAAAAAAATATATATAGAAAGCCACTTTTTTCATAACCAAACAATTATCAAATACTAAATATTATCCATTTTCGTTTTTATATATAGGAAAAAAAAACATGTATGCTATGTTATATATCATTTAAATATGTTTACCAGACACTATAATAGAAACCACGGATCGACTTTTATTTTATTGTTGCATTGTGGTTCAGTGAGAATCGTCATCTCGTCTAAAAACTTCAACCCATCCTCCATTTAAAGTCTTAGATTTTCTTATTTGAATAATTTATAAGGTTTTTTATTGTTAATTTTTTATATATCAAATTATCATTTTTAAATACAAATACAAAAATTTAAATATATTTTATTTTAAAAAAGAAAACCTAATTTTAATAAATATTTATTCTTATTAGCGTCATTTGTACACTTTAATGTTACATAAGTGTCTTAGATAAGTAACATAAAACTTTAATTGCGGATTTGGAAAGCTTCCCAGTTTTCTTTGAATTTGAACCAAATCAAACAGCTAACACTAAGTTGAAGTCCACATGTATACGTTATGTCTCCTTCAAGTGAAATGCTGACACGTGCTAAGTAAACAAAAAATAATTTAAACAAATTATATACTCTCACTTTCCATGTTTAACGAAATTACATTTATATACTTTTAAAATATTAATTCGATCACTCACTAAAAATTAGGGAAAGTTTATGTTAACAGAAATCATATATGATTTTTATGTTATAGTATAAATTAAGATAAATTGTGTCGGATTAACAGTAAATATCTGAGAACTATTCTCTCATGTCCTGGTTCTAAAGCACAATTTAAAAAGAAATAATAAAAAAATTTACAAAGTAATCTGCGATTTTTATAAGACTTTAATTTTATTTTTATCTTTTATTTTTATTAAAGATTATAAGTACATATGTTTCTTGTTATTAGAAAATAAAAAATAATTTGAGAAATAAATGTTCTCTCTCATTTTTTTAATTATTTAATTGTCATTTATTAATTTTATTATACTGGTGTATAAATTTTTGTATAGAATAATATTTTTTGTTTCTCTCTCATGAAAATTTAATGATAAATAAGAAGAACAAAATTGACACATGCGACATATGGATCAACTATAACATGAAAATTTTGAGATATTTTTTAATTAAAAAATTATCTTTCAAAATTTATTTTAAATCTTATTAAGGGTCAATTCTTAAGTTTTTTAAGGCTTTCGATGAAATAAAACCATGATGTTCTCATTTATTTAAGTTTGTTTTTTTTGTATTTTTATGACAAAATTATTAGGATACAAAAAAATGTTCTTAACCATTCACACTAGACACATCTCCTTTAGTATCAATTTTTAGTAATTCATTTTGTAAATTATTTATATGGTTATTTCATGTTATTAGATCATAAATGTCTAATGAATTATATTAACTAAGTTATTCAATATGAATATGTTAATTTTTATCATTAAAATATTTAATTTTATTATGATTATTATATTTATTTTTCAATTAAAATATGTGACTCTTCATCGTTCATATATAATTTTTATTTTCAAATTTTTGAAATAATCGTGCTTATTTTTAAACTTTTATCTTTAACTCTCAATTTGTTGTAATAAGAGAAAAAATAATATTAATAATGGTGACACATTACCTATAAATTACAATGGCTAACAAATAAAATTTTTTAATTTAATTTTAAAATTCTAATAGAGTATAAAAGATCACGATTAAGAAAATTAAGGAATTATATATATAAAAAGAAAAAAGAAAAAAAATTCAAAACAATTTTTATTTATTAACAATAAATATATTATATTATAGAATATATTAAAAATAAATATAAGATAAAAAAAATTAAAGAAAATAAACCAATAATATATTATATTATATAACATACTTTTTTTATATTTAATATCATCGATTCATTTTCCTAAAATTATAAGTAAATTTTTTATTGATAAATCAAAAATAAATTAATTAATTGTTGTTGATTAATTTATTTTTTCTAATAATATATTTTAGATAACTTAATTATATATATTTTTTATATTTATAATAATGTAAGTTTTAAAAAAATGGATGCCTTAGAATTATCGTGTTATTAGATCGACTTGAGTAAAGAATAGATATGGTTTACCAGTGAAGTAAGTTTTTAACATGGTTAGATAAAATTTAAACTAAAGAGAGGGGCAGATTGGTTAAAAAATAAGCCATAAGCCATAAATGGTTGACTTATTTTTCTTTGTTTTGAATGATAATATTAAATTTAAAACAAAATATGAAACTGCGTGGAAAAAAAGAATGATGATTTAAAAAGGGAGGTGCAGGTGGAGCATGTGATTTTGAGAGAATCGCAGAATATGGAGAATTCGACGGTAACGCTAATGGGTGGACCACCACCTCTCTCAAATAGCAATGATATGGACCACTTCAAATAAATCGAGGTATTATATCATATCATATCATATCTCTTCTGTTCCTCTGTCCTTGTTTATCAGCTTCTAAAGCTACCAAACGAGTGAATCAACTCACACCCAATGCCTACATTTATTGTCTTCACATGCCACATTAATATTATCCACTTCATTCCCATCATTGCTACTCTTGCTTATGTTTTTTATTATTTTAAAAATATTAGTTATTTTGTGTTATAAAGTAACCTATATATTTTATAAATTCTGAAAACAAATCTCTTGTTCACTGACTCGTTTCTTGTAAAGAATATGTACAAACAGTTCAATAAACCAAATCTCCATGAATCGGAGGAGATGAGACTTATTAATGCCTATCATTTCACAAATGTAAGTAAATATTTGACGGAAATTTTGTCAAATTTAGGCAAACTAATACAGAAAATTATGAACAATTTTAGTATCAAGAAAACATTATTTTCAGTTATGCTAAAAAAGAACATTAGTTGAATCTGTTCATGCTGTCCTTACCCATATTGGCTGTTTAAATCTGACTTGATGCCACATGTATTTGATATCGCAGTCAAATACTTAAGTCAATCAACATTTTAACACTAAAGTAAAATAAAAAAAATAAAAATAAAAAAATAAAAAATCCATTCCAAAAATATATAATTAGAAAAATAAAAAGAAGAAGAAAACGAAAGAAGTTTGGAGAAGAAAAAGGTGAGAGAGGGAATGGAGAATGGAGAAAGGCGGAAGAGAGAAGAAAGAGGGCAAAAGACAAATCAGAAACTGAAACGAAAATGAAGAAAAGCGTTCAGAAACGCACCAACCTAACACCTCAACCTAAACCTCTCTAACTCCGCTTCCAATTCGCGCTTTCTTCTCCCTTCTCTCTCGTACGTTCAATTTCCTTCCAATTTCATTTTCTTTGCATGACGCTGCCTCCGTTTCATTTCATTTATGTTTTGTTTTGTTTCGTGTCGTGCTCCGTTGATTATTTTTTCATGTGGAATTTATTCCTTCCTTGATTTATTTCAACTTACCATTTTCCGGTTTATTTCGCCCATCATATTCGAATAGTTTAGTTGTTGAATTGTATGCTGTCGTTGGAGTGAAGGCGCCGTTGAAATTTTATCTGCTTTGGACTTGTTTTGATCCATCATTTCCTTGGAAAGACAAAGAAGAAGATGAAAATCAGAATGAGATTTTTATTTCCTGTTTATGTGTTTTATTACGAGGGAGAATTTTTTGGTGTCAGGCAGAATTCCTGTTTATCACATTAGTTTGTGTAGGATACCTAGTTTAAAGAAGGACAAAAAAACAAAAATATAGATTAAATGTCTCGTGTGTAAGTTTGGTGTAGCTACCCTGCACTTACTTTCAACTTTTACAGGCCATCTAAGTTTGATTTTGTGCAATTGGCATTGAACTTGAACAATTCTGATTGCTTAACTGACCCGTAGTATGTTTGGATGGAGGAGTTTGCAGGGCAAAGGGAGGGGAGATTGATTTTTTTTTTTTTTTTTTTAATTTAAAGAATTATTAGTTTTATTGTTTATTTATTTATTTTTTAAATGAATGTGGGTGATTGGAGGTTGCATGGTAATCTCACATTTTTAATAATTATCACTGCGGAGAATGTTTACTTGAATTAATAAATTACCCCTCCCTTCCGATCTTCCCCACCAAACTAGTTCATCCAAAAATTCTCAAGTGTTATGCCCTTCTATGGATTTGGAAATTGGGGAATCCTAACTACAAAGAAATTGAAGAATTTCATGCTTGACTTGTTATAACTTTTTTTGGTCAAAGCTGCTGCAGGAAGTGCATGTACTGCAATTCTACCAATTTGGTGGAGACTCCTCATATGCGACAAGGAACACCTCATTTGCTGCTCTGGACTCTGTTCTGGGCCTTTGTTTGAAATTAAACGCTTTAAACACACTTTGGTCATTGATGTGGCCCATATACTTGCTATTCAACAAGATTCTCAAGACTGGAGATGAAAGAGAATTAAAAGGCAATACTTTGAATGCAATAGATCCATACCTGTTTCAGCAACCATCAAGTAATATAGATTCCCATCCTCCCTCCTTGCGTCGTTCACAATTCATTGAAGTAAGAGCATGTGATTTTTTGTTGAAATATCATTCTTTACATATTATACTAGGAATATTTTTCTGTTGATTATGTCTGTAATAAAGTTTATCTAATTATGCTTATAGGTACCACACATAAACCAAATATATACATGGGATTGTGGCCTTGCTTGTGTCTTGATGGTTTTGAAAATTATTGGTGTCAACAACTATGATATTCAAGCACTGGCTGAACTATGCAGCACAACCAGGTCTTTTTTCCTCTATAAAAGCTTAAAATTGTAGTTACTCTGAAATATGAAATGCTTCAAGATCCCAGACTGTATATGCATGGCTCTTTCTAATGCATCTAAGAAGGAAACATAGTTTGGAGTCTTCAGACTTCTTTAATAGGTTAAGAAAAGTATAGTGCCTGAAAGCGCACTCAATCTTGTGTGGACTCTCTGTTGGTTCTACAAAGTTGTGAGAATATACTCTGTAGGACTATACGTATGCAAGTATATCTCTAGTCCTCCTATCTCCTCCGTATTTCTTTAATTTGAAATCATTGACAATCTTAAAATGCTAATCAGGTGAAAATGTTTCTTAGTGTCTTTACATTTTGGACCAAAGTTTCATCAAATGTTATAGACTAAAATTCTAAATACACATTTTGATGCATTGTGATTAATGTAGTGATATTACATATAACTAAGTAAACTAACCTTCCTCCTTGGCCCCTTCGTCTTCTATTTAGCCCAGAGTTGTCGCTTGCATTTTACATCTTACCTAGTTACCCAAAAATAATCAGATTATCTTGCAATTATCATATTTTAGTACACATTTTTATATTTATACTTGATAATCCCATGGCTGCTGCTGTTGTTGTTATTATTATGATTATTATGATTATTATTATTTTTATTGTTATTTAATACATTTTCCCAATAAGATTTTGTTAAAAAATCAACTATCCTAATAGCCTGAGCTGTTATGTGAAGTCAAATGAATAATTTGATTATATTTCTAACAACTCTTATGCAAGAGCTCATCAGGATTGAACTTGATGGGTGGACAATGCACAAGGCCCCTACCTTGTGCTTAATTTTACATAAAATAAGAAATTGGGGGTGGCATGAGGCAATCTGTAGACTACTTAGTCATAGAGGCTTCGATACTATGTCATAAATAACTCCCAAAAGCTTAAGCATTTGGCATTAGATGTAGATCTCCCTTGTATTCAGGCTCCCCCCCAACCCAAAAAAGTGGTATTAGAGCCAATTGTTTGGCTAGGACAAGTATGAAGAGGACCATTGTATGATTCCTTGCTTAGTTCATTGGATTGCGGACATAATAGGTTTTATGACACTTGAAAAGTATGTATTTTCTCATACTCTTAATTTGTTTTCAAATTAGAAGCTTCCATTTGCTAGTGAACATACTAAACCAGATTCGTTAGAATAAATTTGTTGAAGACTTGATAAGCAACTTATATAAATGAATTGATTAGTCCATGTGCTATTTGGAGTTCAACATTCAGAACTAAAGTTTGCTTCAGAGTTCATGATCTTTTGTCCTTTCTCCACCTATATAAAATCAATCATGAAATGACATACTCCTTAATATATCTGGTAGAATTTCAGAAAGCAACTTGGACATTGGTCATTATATATTGATAGATTTGCAAAATATAGGAATTAAGATATTCTGGTTTTGCATGTAATTTATGCCTTTGCTTACACTGTTTGGGACTCAAGTTACAAAACCAAAGTGCTTATCAGATTTTTCAAGAAGGGGGAAAAAGGAAAATAAGTTTTTTTTTTTTTTGTTTATTTTAATGGTTGAATATAATATAAACATGATGTAAGTTATAGCTTTGTTAACTTGTCAGGATGATGCTGTCAATTGTTACGACTTTATTTTTGCCAACTAAGCATCAATCTGAATCAAATACTAAAACAGACTAATATCATGTACAAAAAAAAAAAACAGATGGGTATTGTAATTCAATATGAAAATGTATGATGAACTTCTGACTGCTCTCATTGTTTACTACTGTTTTGCAGCATTTGGACTGTTGACTTGGCGTATTTATTACAGAGATTTTCTGTTGATTTTTCCTACTTCACAGTGACACTTGGTGCCAACCCAAAATATTGTGTTGAATCATTTTACAAGGTGACTCACTGTCATACGGAAATAGTTACAAGTTCTTTTGTTTGTTTCTTTTAGTAAACCTCCAGTATGGTCCTTGGGAAAATTTTGAAACATCAATTTGGTCATGTAATCATGATTTTTGGTCTGCAAACAGTAACTTAGGGCTATTTTGTTTTGGTTGCCGCAAAACTTATCATTTGAAGAGTAAATACTAAATAGATGTAATAATCTTTTGAACAGCAAATTAATGTTCCAAAAATGTTTTAAGGACCAAAATGGGAGTTTATTTTAACTTTGTCTTTCCTCATGTCTGTGTAGTTGAAATTGAAGATATAAGATTTTTTTTAAGAGTGGTCAAATTATGTGTTTGAGGTATGGTGTCAGAATATTATCCGAGAGGACATTTTAAATGGCATGGGGTTAGATTCACCACTGTTAACAGAAAAGTGGACTAGCTTTGCTCAAAATATACCAGAGCTTGGCTCTAGGTCTTATGGATAATCATGATTGGCAGAACGGTTACCAGTTTATAGATCATTGCATGTCGGGTTTAACAATTGTCACTTTCGATGTTGGTTTATTGGAGATTTTGAAAGAACCATGATATGGATCTTTCTTCTGCGTGCATTCAATGCTTAGTCTACCTATAAAGTTGATAGGATTTTGTTTTAAATATTGTGTAGGATGAACTGCCTAATGATCTAGTGAGAGTGGATATGCTATTTCAGAAAGCAGTGGAGGCTGGGATTGATATACAGGTATGCTGCATGCTTGCACCTTTTTTATTGGATCCCTTCCGTATCAATCTGAGAGAGGCTTTGAGATTGTCACCTATTGGAGAAGAAAAGGAAAATATTAAGTCTTTTCTTTCAATTAATGTTTTATTGTCATGTCTGTCTTGGTAGGAAATAATTGAAGGATCTGAAATCAGTTTAGTCAGTTGCAATTTTATTACATACATTGACCACTGTTGATTAGAAAATCAGTTTTTGTATAACACTTCGTAAAATGGTTTTCTGTGGCAGATTTGTTGGAACTGACAGAAAATGACAAGTAGAGTTTTATAGTTAATATCTTTGCATGGAAACATTTTATTTGCTTAGAGTTACGACTTTGTTGTTTCTTTATAAGTAGCCAACAAACCTTTTTGTTTGGAACCAAGAATAGAAACTGGAAAGAAAAGGAAGAATTTATTGAATTAAATGGAAATAACAGAAAATAGGAGAGATATCTCTCCTCCAAGGGTTTTCCCTTCACAAAGAGCAAAAGCTCAATCAACAAATAATACAAGACATAATTCCTTTTCCTTTATATCCTCCTCCTGTTTATTTACCTTTCAAGTCTCCTGTGACTGACTAACCTTCTACTAACAAACTACAATAACTGTCCTAACCCCTAAATAATTTCCATTTCCGATATTTTTACAGTGCAGGTCAATTAGTGCAGAAGAGATTTCTATTCTCATGTTGTCTGGGAAATATATTGCTATTGCATTAGTTGACCACAACAAATTGAGGTACAGTTTTCTTATAATCCTTTCTTTACACTATGTATGGTAAAAAGGTAAACAGAGGGAAAAGAAGAGAAGTAGGTAAGAGAAATAGTGGAAATTGAAGTTGTTTGGAAAGAAAGAAATAGAAGAGAAATGGGAGGAAGAAATTTTTTTTAATTGATTATATTGGATTTAATAAATAAACTAAATTGAATTATAAATTAAATTACACAATTGTCCTTTATCTTTATTGTGTTGTATTATTTATTTTTTTTATATAAATTAAGTCTTCAAAAAATAATAAAATAATTCAAAATACAATTAAAAATAATAAATTAAAAACTCCAATAAAAAAAAAATCTGTGAAAAAAATTCAACAAAAACCATAAGTTTAAAATGGAAAAATCAATTAAAAATTAAATCAAAGTGAAAAATAAAAATTAAAAAATAATAATAATAAAAAGTGGCAAGCAGATGCAGCCAGCTACCACAATACGTAAACAACGTTTAAAAAAAAAATAAAAAATCCAAGTAACCTGTACACCCAGTTGCCAGCACCCCTGTGTATTTATTTATTTATTTTGTCAATTTCCATACACTTCCCCTCATATGAGAGGGGAAGTTTATTTTAGTGGGGCCCACCTTAATTATTGCAACTTCCCTCTTACTTCCTCTTTATGAAACAACCCATCAATCTTCACTTCCTTCCCATTCTCCTTACTTCCTCCCTACTTCCCCTTTACCAAACAAAGGCTTATTGACTTCAATGCCTTATTAACAATAACTGTGCATTGTACTACACTTACATACTCCGATTGCTCTTACCAACTTTAGATAGAACCAGAGGTAAACCAATTTCATTCATAGAAAAACTTATTTTTACCCTGGTGTAATGTAAATTTTCACTATTTCATTTTTCTTTTCCTCAATAATGTCATTTTCCTTGGTGATGGGCAATTCTAGCTGCTTCTGAAAAGGTTCTGTTTCAGTCATGTACGGCAAGAAGATGTTCCTGTGCCTGGTGTCTTCAGCAACAATCCTGGCTACACAGGTGAACATTTATATTTGAGCTTCAACTTATTTTCATCTGTATTGGATGTATTCTTTCCAAGTGGAAGTTACTACCTACATATGATGAGTATAGACAAATATAAAAACATATTATATTTCCATTTTTGATTAGGGTAATGGGCAGAAAACATTTTCATGGCTTTTCACTGACCCTTCTAGAAGGTGTGTTAAATCTGATTTTTTTTTTCTTTTGTATATCTAACAGGGATGTGCTAGTACTTATAGACAATTATCCACTCCAGTAAACCCTTGTATTAAATTTATGTTGAAGATCGTATATTTCAAATTAACTCAACAAAGGCTATATACCCTTTGAAGTATTTTTGTTTTGGAAACAAATTAAGTTACTTCAAATGAAGGAAAAAAAGAAACTCAAGTTTTTGATGAGTAAAAATATGGACATTACGCCAATGCTGTTAAGTTTTCTGGTTGGAGATTTGCAAGGCTTTTTCTACACTCATAACTGTAGTAGGTCATATCCACAATCCACTGAACTATGTTCACTTAAATCATGGTTATTAAACCAAAATTAGACTCCCCTAAACCTTCAAACCTGGTTTAGCTGTTGCGTTTGCCTTTCTTCTTTTGTTTTTATCTCATGTAACCAAAAAATAAAAATAAAAAAACACTCATTGGTTTAGGTGAAACTTGTTTGACTTGAAGGACTGATGTGACCTGGGCTGTTTGCTTCGTTACAAATTCTAACATTTTTGCTATATATAGGGCCAACGTTACAGGTGCATGCATGCAATGCAATGCACCCCTCTGCCTCATTCCATACCAATGTCTTACATGGTCAAAAGCAATGACAGGCCTAGAAATTTTAGACTATGGGGGCAATATGTACAGACTCATATCTGAAACATTAAAAATATAAAATTCTTGTGGAGGCAATCAATTTACAGTTATACATATAATACATGCAATATTAAGAAAAATTAAAATTTTGGTGGAGATAGGTTGCCTATGATCCATCATGATGGTAACATTGACTATGTGTAGGGATCAAAAAACTCATTTCAAGAAGTTTTGCAATGTGTGACTCATGTTCAAACATGATATCTTTTTGTTTTCCTAAAATTTGCTATATAATAGAAAAATTAAGCTTTTATTACTTGAGGATGAAAAAAGCAGGGATTTTAATTGCTTTTCTGTAATTATTTTTATACATATTAAGCTTATTGCTTGAGGAGGAACATAATTGGATCCTATCTCAATCAAGTAATTTCATATAAGACTAAATGTTTCAGATTAAAATACTAACAGCCATCTCTTAAAATAGTCAAGGCAAAAGGGGATGATGCAGTATGATACCCGGGACTTGTGGTAAGGCATCTAGTTTAGGGGTGAGAACTGTAATCTAACAAGTGCCTTGGTAGGCTTTTGATGGGAAATGTTCCTGAGGCGCCTCAATCCAAGATGCCTTGTTCACTATAAGATAGGAAACAAATCTCCTCGCAACTGGACAAAATGATGACTTTGATTGAATCTCATGTCTGCTAGACAAAGGATGCCTTAAACTGATTGATCTCTACCATATTTCATAAATGACTTTGTTGAATTTAGTGGGAGGTTTACAATTGCAAAATGAAGAAATTATTTCAGAGAGAATTAAAGAACGAAAATGGTTTCTTATTTTTGCATTTCCATTATGCAAAATGCCCATATAGATTGACACTCTAGAGTCTAGACTTAGATAGTACTATTTCCAAGGCCAAGAGTGAGTGAGTGAGTGCAACATTTTAAATTCTAATTCCTATGAATACTAAATGCATTTTAACTTGGTATACATGGATTGCTCATAATTCTAACACTCTCCCTTAATTTAAAGTTTATTAGGCTTTAAGCTTGTTACCAGTAAACCCTTGTTTTTGAAAATAATAATAATAATATGGGATCCACCAAACTTGATTCAAAAGGCAACATAGGACTTGTTTAGACCAGAGAAAGACCACCGGATGAACTAATAGGAGCTAGATATTGACACAGCTGAAGATTTAATAGATTAACTAGAAAGTTGCTGAAAGTGAAAACTTGTTGGAAAATAATCATTGTAAAATCTATTAGACAGATTAACAGACAGTTATTATTAGAAGGTCATCAGTAAAGGTCACCACTGGTTGCAGGAGCATTGCTGGAAGTTTGTTGGACAAGTTGCCAATGGTTGCAGGCCACTGAAAAATTCATTGAAATGGCATGCTGGTGGAGCCACAGAGAAGACTGGTGGGAAGGTGCAAAATAGAGAAGATGACCAGTGGAATGAGAGAAGTTACTGAAAATGAGAACAGTTCCACATTTTAGGAACCTGGCAATGGAACTATGATAGGACAGGTCATGAAGGATAGTACCACTCTGATGCCATGTTGAATTTAACAGGAGATTTAATATGGAGCTGCTAAATAGAGAGGAGAATATTTTAGAGAGAATGTAGATAATGAAAATGGATTTTATTCAGTTCTTCCATTATGCAAAGAGTAATGTTGTATCTTCCTGCAAATCCTCCTACTACCTTATGAAGAAATGATAAGTGAAAAAATAAATGCAATTAATGTCTTGAAAATATAAAACACGTTCACAACATACCATACAACAGAAGTAGGAGGAGGATGTAAGAGGATTTAGAGTTTTTGTTAAGCAAAACATCATGTACAAAGACACTCAAAGGCACCACTAGTTTCTAGGTTAAGAGTGAATGTGTGCAACTTCCTAAATAATTTGTATGAATACTAAATGCATGTTAACATGCGATATATTAACTGCACATAATTCTAACAGACTTAACTCAGAAATTGGGCCTTGGACCCCTACTTGCTCTGCTTTTACCCAAAACAGGTGAAAGCAGACTGTCCCCTTTTACCTTTGACTTTTCAAACACAAATTGACACCTGAAGGAAACCTTAATTAATGTCTTTTGTCCCATTTTGACCCACACATGACACATCCTATAAAACCAAAACATATGACTCTTCATGGATGGACAACAAACAAAGGCCTGGAATACTGAAAAAATCAGACAAATGCATTGCAAGATTTCCCTCATATTCCTCTACGAAAACCATGAATGACCTCTCCATTCATTGCTGTGTGGCATGAACCTGAGGATATATCTCCATCATTTTTACACACCTCACAAGTTTGAGAACCCATTGATTTTTCATTTTCTCAATATTTGTTATCTCCCTTTTCTTTCAAATCCATCCCCCAAAAAAATTGTTATATGCTTTCAAGAACAAGGAAGCTAATGTAAATTTTATATATCACATTGTATTGTAGCTACGTTAAGTGATTCTGAAAAATGATTTCAAAGATTGATAGCTGTTGGTATCCAGAAGTTTTAATTCTTGAACACCCTAGATTATACTTGTTTGCAACTGTGAACAAGTGCTGATATTTTTCCAATATATGAGAAAGTAGTCAATATCCTCAAAACATATTTATATTTATATTAGTATTTATCCTAACATTCTAAAAATATCAATTTATTGAATGAGTTAATGAATAGAAAAATTTCATTGACAGGTCACTATGTGTTGATATGTGGCTATGATGCTGGAGCAGATATGTTTGAGATTAGAGACCCTGCCAGCTCTAAGTATCCGCTTTTCCCTCTTTCTACTTCTGGTTTTATATTAAAGTTTTCTGCACAATAACATTTTCCTTAAGCTCTTTACCATTATAATTGGATCTCAAACGTGGCATGTGGATCCAAAACTCATTTAATGATTAAATGAGTCATTTTTTTTTATTTCTATCTGAGAAAAAAAAATTCGAGCATATAATGCTTATATAAAATTGGGTAAACTGTATAAGAAGTTTTTGTTTCTTGAATTATCATCATTTTTCCATTGTCGTCATTATTTACACATTATTGTAACAAATCCAGAGAATTTCAATTTTTTTTAGTAATTTTATGTCGGCATCTAAGGAGTTTTGTAATACATGTTCAAAGTGCCGTTTAACACCTGGCTTCTAGTTTTTTGTCCTTTGGAAAGAAGAAAATAATATAATTTTATTTTAAGTAAAACCATATGCCAAATTCTACTGCATGGGTAGTGTACCATATTGACAGACAGGTATATGTCTCCTTAAGATAATTATAATAACAGCGATATTTCTACTGTATTTGTCAGACAATGTTGTACTTTGTACATAAGTGTTGCAGTGTTTTAGGTATTATATGAATCAAACAAGAATTCGTAATATGAAAATCTACAACTTTAGAGAACCTCTGGGAGGAAAAACTTTCTATAATAGAGTTTTCCAATGAAACTGACAAGAAAAATATGTTTAAGTTGAGTTATTGCAAGTCATAGCTCAACTCATTTTTCATGGCACCTTAAAAATTCTAGATGTAATTTTATGCCACCCGAGTCTGAATAAAATTTACTTTCTGCGTACTCACTTATTCATTATTTCTCATATAGGCAGTGTCTGTTCTGTTGAGCATTTATATTTACGTGGTTGTTTCCAGTTCCTGTGTTCATGAATTTTATCCAGGCAGTGGATGTTTAATGATACTGATAATGGTTTCATTCTGATTGCATCACTGGTATTGGTTGTTAAGCCGTTTGTTTTACTGGACAACCATTTGTTTCCTTAACTTTGTTGTATGAACAGGCTAACTGTTTAGAAGGGGCAGAGTACTGCGTCTGTTATGGCTACAATTTTTGGCTCATGTAGTATAAATAATCAAATTTGCTCGTTGTATTGCTTCTATTACAATATATTTGATGAAATAACCTGCCAGATCAGAGTAGTAGCATAGCCAAACAAACCGTCCTTCATTGCGTCAATTTAGATGTTGATACATGCCTTGGATGACAAAAACCATTTGTGTGAATATTCTTAAAAAAATTTATGCTTCATGATTCTAGTGCTATTCCTTTTTACTATGGCTGAATTTGCTGATATAGCAAAGGACAATGCAAACGAGTGAAATGACATTGATCAAATGAAATAGTCAATTTTTATTAATTTTCAAAAACAATATGCTGGAATATGACAAACATATGCATATTATTTGAGTGGTTAAATTATTGCCTAGTTATATTTTTTGTGATTTTGATCCTAAAATATGAGTTGGTTAGTCATCTTCATAAATTAACAAATTCAAAATTCCCTGAAAAATGTGCAGGAAACATAAGAGGATTTCTTTGAAGTCTTTAGAAGAAGCTCGCAAAGCCTTTGGCACCGATGAGGATCTTCTTTTGGTAAACATCATATACCTCAAATAATCTTTCTCTAAGCTATCTGATATATGCTACTGTGTTATCAATGGCGGATGGCCAAAATTCCGCCATGTAAACAAGCCATTGGGGCCTATGGTGCTGCCATAGTTATCTGCAGTGAACTTTGCTTCAAAAGGTTTAGCTCCGGATTCTGTAACATTATTTTTTTCAATTGACCAATTTATAAAATAAAAGTGTACGTTTTATTTACTTTTGGCTAACTTAAGAGGTATTGAGGAGTGAATGGTCTTGGGTGGTTACAAACCTGAGATGTATTATGACTCTGCCTGGTCAGCAATTATCAAAACATTAGTGCAATGGCGTGCAGTTTTCATTTGATCAATCTAAAGGCTCTAAGCTAGCCTTGCATTTAATTAAAAGAATGAAGAATCCTTTTTCTAGTAGGTCAATTTTTAAAGAAACCGTAGTAGTTCAGACAAGACAGGGTTACAAATTAATGCATTAGAAAGTTGGGATAGCATCTATTATTAGGAGAAAAAATATTATCAATGATTTATTTTTAGACATGATTCATAGTAGAATATTATGATGTCATTTTATCTAGGTTCCTGACCCCGCTTTGTAGGAAAGTACTTGATTGTTGTTGTGATCTAAATCATGAGCAAAGGCATATAGGGAGTATAGATGACTCAGGTTTTTCATCTTAGTTCTTGATTCTTGTTTCCTTATTAAAAATTAAAATGTTTTAATTTTAATATGTACAATATTAAGTTTCTATTAGCCATTGGAGGGATGCTGACAAAATATATTCATTCTGTATGTACATTCATAGATGCTGATAAAATAAATTCATTCTGTATGTACATGTATACTGTTGATGGAATTAACGAGTGATCCCTAGTGCCCTGTAACTCCAAGTCGTGTGATTTATTATCTCAGAAAAAAATTCTTTTGTTAAACTTTTTTTTTTTTCTGGTGTAAAATGTTTAATAGACCTCTAGTGATTATATGTTTTGTAGTTAAGATTGTTGATGACTTGATATCATGCCAGAGTAGTGGAGCTATCATCATCACTTAGAACTTTGAATGGAAGTTTTGACCATCGTTTATTCTTTTTATATTGAAATAACTTGTTTATATCATAATTTAGCCCTAGAAAAGCGGTTATTTGACACATTATTTATTATTAGATTAATTTCATATAGGTTGCACTCCCTAGTTTTTGGGACCCACATGATTTAGTAGATTTCTCATAGATCATGAATTTCATCCAATAATAGAAAGTATGTTGAAACAAGCGTGCAAAAATAGTGTATTTCTAGCATTTCTTACTCCTATATCCCTACTTACTATACTCAGTTGAGATATTATATTATAGTGTGAAATAATAATTTTTTTCCTTGCATGGCCAAGCAGATATGTTTGGAGAAGAGCAGTAACCATCATCAACCTTCTATGCAAGTTTCCTCTGATGTCAATACTGATTCTTGATTTTCTTTACATGTGTTGCGATGATTTGCCAGTTATGTTGCCCCTTTATTTTAATTTTTTTTGCGTATATAACATATTCCATGTGTATTTTAGTTGCCCATTCATATTCCCAGTATAAGCCTCTTAAAATGGTTTCGTCTGGGCTGTATGTAACTATGTACTGTGTAGGTTTACTCAGAAATGTATAGCAATTAGCAAGTATAAATTCATTCTGATCTTCTGTAAACCATGTGTTCTTTCTCAGAAACGTGCGAGTCAGACAACTGTATTGCCGTTAAGGGATTCGGAGTTCAATTGCTTTATTCAACCTGTACCAAAAAGTTAGTTTATTTTGCCTGAAATAGTTAAAAAAAATTCTGACTAAAAGCCTTTTTACCATTCTCTTATTTTCCATTTTGTCTGCTTCTATTATTCTTCCTAAGTTAGGAAGATTAGAGTTCAGCTTATATTTTCTCGTAATTCTGAACAAATTTAATACGATCACTCAGAATAGATGAATGCCAATATACCATCCAGTTGCAGATTTCCATGATTATAGTAATGCCATTCCTGTACAGAGAAGAGAAGCTTGTTTCAGGTAATGTGTTTTCTATTCAATAAATGCATATGATGCGACCATTTTTTCAGTGAATATCGTAGTCATTCATGAATCATGTGAACCATTAACATTAAATGCATCATCTCTCATTTAGCGTGTATACTCTAAATACAAGAATGCATCTATTATATTACTACATCACATTGTGTTACACTTTGGTAGACTCCCACATGCAATAAATAGATAAGTGGAATGCGGCCCTGGTTTCGGGGCTTTTCACCATTTGGATCGGCTTTTGATATTATTATTTCCAAAATTATGGATCTATGATCTAGTTGAGATGCTCATTTAAAAACTAAAAGAGCATGGTTAAGATCCAATAATTATATTCTTGCCTTCTTGGTGACTATGTCATTGTCGTGTTTTTCTCAAACAATTTTTGTCATTACTATGATTAATTTTTTTGCGAATGACGGACTGACGGACTGACGGTGGTGGAGGCGTGGTGATTTGGTGATGGAAGAAAGTGAGTTGGTCAAAACGGTGATAGATTCTGTCATGGAAGTGGAACTTACTTTTCCAAGAATCTTCTAAATTAGTGTTTCCCCGACACACCGTCTCTCTCCCGCAGAACAATTGAGACATGTTCGTCTAATTAAATATAAATATTTAGGGTGTCGTTAATGAATTCTTTAAGTATATATCTACTCTTTCAAGTAATAGTCTCGAGTTCCAATCATAAGTACGTAACTATATTGAACATTCAAAGAAAAAACTTTGTCATTTATAATAATGCTATTTAGTTTGAATATAATTATTTCAAGTGAAAGACACAACACAAGTGTTATAGAAAAAAAAATACAAATAAAACATGGAGAAAAATAATAGCGAGCATTATTTGAATTCCTTTAAAATTAGCTAAGCTCTTCTGAAACTAAAGAAAATAACTAAAGAAGGAATTAAAGTTTATTTCATGATGCTTACAATAATTGTAACATTTGCTAGTGGAATCAGACATCACTTGTGTTTGTCACTCTTGTATGTTCTTAGTTATTTTCCCGCTGTTGTCTTGTCGGTGTCTGGACATATAGTAATTTCCTGTTTCTTTTTTTTTCTTTCTAATATATCTCCCTTTTATTAGTGATTGATACATATTTTCTTCTCTTTGTTCCCTCTTGAACCTTTCTATATAACTTTGTTCGCATATTCTTAAATACCATCAACTTATATTATGCATCACATCTTTAACTCTGTTGCGTTCTTTGTAAAAATATTAGTATGTTGGAATCCCGTTTCTAAACCATAATTTGATTAAAAAAATGGAACCTCAACTTGTTTATATGGATTTCAATTTACGCGCCTCGATCTTAGGTTTGGTATATAACGTACTGTTTTTAAAATCAAAGCGATTGTTGGACCATTGAAAATATTGGTTCACATTGATCAAATTATAGTTGAATCCTAAATAATTTGATAGTAATAAAAACATATTTTAAAAATATTATTACATTAAATAATAAATTAAGTCAAACTTTAACTAGACATAAAAATCATATTGTATTTTTTTTATCAAGATCATATTGTATGTTTTATAACCTAATAAAGACAATAAACAATGAAAATTAAGTTTATCAATAAATATAAAATGAGTATTTTATTAGCAATATATACGAGGAAAAATCATCTTACTCTACAAGTAAGTGTACTTAAACTTATTTTATTTAATAATTTATATTCTACATTAATTTTTAACAATTCAATTATTATCTTTTATATATATATATA